CACATGCACACCACACACCCACACACACGCTCATATACACACCCACACACACACACTCTAATACACGTACAGGCGCACGCAACACACCACACCACCACACTCTTATACACGCACAGCCACACGCACACCCACGCATACGCTCATAATACACGCACAGGCACACGCAAACCCCACACACACGCATACGCTCATCACCATTGACCTCTTGACCTCCTATAATACAGCTAATTAATTATGCTAATTAGGTCAATACTACTTAAGGGCTTTGGAATTGAAGCACTTAATCATTCCTGTATGTAAATCTAAACGTAAAGGAGAAAAGGCATCATAAAGAGTATTATATAATATCACAAAAAAGCAACACATTAAGGAGAATTTGGCATTTATTTTCGAAGATTTCTTCACATTTAACCTATTATTTTAGATGTTGAACCCTTATAACTCTATTAAAATATTCGATATTCGATTAAAAAATCAATGTTATATGAAAGTACAAGAAAAAATAAAACATATATAAAATTTGACCATCATTTGACTTTGATTCTCAAATTTGACCTTCAAGGTTAAATGTCAGTTTGGAAACCGAGTGATTCTGAAAGGCCTGGATTATAGTGATACTTTCTAGCCGGGTTGCCAGCTTTGAACAAAAAATGCCATCAAAGGTTTTTTGAGCATATTTCCTGGGTTGGACTGCCGACTAAATCGCTGGCATGACCTTCGGCACCACCGACATTGTTATTGTAGTACCGGTGTTTTAAGCTAACAGAAAGAGAGAGGCGAATTCAGCACACCACCAATCGTTCAGGGAGCGGCCGCGATGAGCGCCAGAAGACATTAGCTGCATAACTTAAGTGGACATAAATTAACGTTACAGAAGGCATTCTTAATGGTTACGAACACATTAATTAACTTCCGCCAAGAAATGCGGGGTAGTTTTATCAAACAGAGGAATTTAATCCCAAGGGGGTACCATCCGGACGGTAGTCGCGAGCGGTCATTGAACCACGACCCTTGACAGCTAACGAGGAAGACAAGTCGGACGAAGATGGAGAAAGAATAAACGATCACAGGTTTGGTAGAACGGAGAGACCGTCGACTACAGCTCGGTATGTGTACAATGTTGCATGCGACGTGTTAATAATGAAACTATGGTTGTCACACCAGTTTTACACAACCGTTACGTTCTAACATGTCTAACGAACCGATATCCCACTCTTACATTATCACAAGCACGCATGTGGTCCATAGCGTAATATAACGCACGCCTGTGACGCGACAATCGGTTTCGTCGTCGCTTTTGTGTTAGCTTTAGGAAATGCGAAATTATGTATGGTAGGACTAGTAAGGATATCGCGACTTAATCTAATTGTCACGCACGACGACTGAGCTCCTAACACCGTGCGTACGAAAGTGCGGTCCGACGCGCCCTGACCAATTGGGCGACTTATGTCACGCACAGCTTCCACTTCAGTCGTATTTTTCAATCTGGACGCATTAATCTACATTCACGCTATATCAAAGCGCGAAGATTCTCAGAGAGGCGCGTACACTTGAGAGCATCATACTTGAGCGCGAGTATATGTTATGTAGAGAGCCGCGTGTGTAGGTTGGGAAACAACCATTGCTAAATCTGGCAGACCGCGTGGTGTCGAGTGTGTCAAGCTGTGTTGAGCTAGGACATATATATCATCTGAAATTGATAAGGTCATCAACGGAATAGGATTTGGCACGAACAGTGAACAGTATCAGCGTGGCAATAACGGGACCATGAAAATGATGACGGGCCGTGACTACTATTATCTGCCTTCCTGGTTATCTTCGCTGTCAGGTAAGTGAGTTTGAAAACCGTTGTCTAAATCAGCGTGCGTGCGCAGCGGCTGCGGAAGTATGTGCGCTATGTACGTGATTGCCCGTGTGGTGTGTGTTGTGTGTGTGTGTTGTGTGTGTGTGTGTGTTGTGTGTGTGTGTGTGGTGGCTGTGTGTGTGTGTGTGGTGCGCCTTGTGTGTGTGTGTGGTGTGTGTTTGTGTGTGTGTCTGTGTGTGTGTGTGCTGTGTGTGTGTGTGTGTGTGTGTGTGTGGTGTGTGTGTGGTGTGTGTGTGTGTGTGTTGCGTGTGTGTGTGCTGTGTGTGTGTGCGGGCAAATGGATTATTTATCAGAAGTAACCATGGCCGCTAGTTTCGTGATGCAACTTATAATTGTGTGTGTAAGAGGACCACTTAGTTTCTCGTCCGTTATAGCAACAGCAATTCCCGAACATGCACTGTACTGTAGTAGAGCAGTACTGATAGACTTTAAAACGATCTCCAACGATCGCTGTAGCGATTCTCGATTTTGTATTGCAGTCATGCTGCGTCATCCATTGTTCAGCCCCCTGCGGCGAAGATTCGCCTTACGTCAGCTATCCCACGCGTGTTCCAGTGAGCTAGACAGTGCGCACCAGCGGCAAACTTCAGGCCGTACGGAGAAAAATTCCGGTCGACACACAGGAAGAGACGAGACGTACGACCGCTCCCAAATAACAACCGGATACGCGCGCCTCGCGCGCCGCCTGCGCCCTTACATAGCAAGCCGCGCGCCGGTCAAATTCGGTCTAAGGGCTCTACGCTTGTGTTCTCTCGCGCCTGAAGGTCAACGAGGGTCAACGAGACTCGTTACGGCGATGACGTAATTTTTCTCGTTGATACTACGAGCATTCCTATCGTATGCTATATATGTGTAATTTGAATGTGTATTCCTGCAAAGTAACTTTCCACCTTTTAATGTTCTCCACCTTAAAATTGGATTACTACATCCTTAGAATTTTAGGGTATATATGATTAATGGTAATTATGAAACGAATAATGGTATATACGCTACGAATTTTATAATCCATTTACACTTTAACATAGTTTGTCCATAAAACAACTGAGTTTCGAATCTTTATTTTGGCCCGTGACATGAAGCATATGGCAAATCCTGCCTATTGTGCTGCCACTCTTAAGAAAGTGCTTTTACAACCCGCGATTATTTTGCACGTTACAGACGGAAGGCCATAATCCAAAAGTGTAAGGGACTAACTATATTTGATACCTACAACGCTTGTTATTTAACCGAATGTCTTAATATTGTAACTGAACTAAAAATCTAAAGCGGTTTGTTTATATTGTAATTGGTCAATTTCCTCTCCTCTTAAATGAATAAATAAAAGCAGTCACGCCTTAGTCTGTATAGCCTGCGCCAAAAAGTATGCGAATGCGCACAACAATGAAAGTAGATGGATTAGTAGTGCGGCGCACCGTCGTCTGTGAACAACGATTACAGACGCGTATGGTCTTATAAAACGTTAAAAAATCATTTTTTTATATCACCATATATTTGAACAATGAAATTTTTGTATATGGCGTATTTAAGCCAACTTTAACCTAAAATAAGCGAAGGAACCTAGGGTTATAACGTATCCCCTTTAAATAGTTTTTGTTTGTCTTGATCGACGTTTCACTGACAATTATATTGTCACATTGATGCCCACAGAGACGGCCGGAGGTGTAGGTTTTACTGTGCATATTATAGCAATCTGTGCGTTGCCACTGCGCCTGGAATTATTCTACTCTCAAATCGCAACATTGACCTGGTAAACGAAAGAACATTTTGCCTCTGGTTTTTACTCTCATTGTTCATTGCCATATTCAGTTTGGTTGTTTTTTTAAAGGGGGTTTTATTTATATTGCTATCCATCGTGATTCCAATGCTTAGCAATTAATTGACTAAGCTCCTATAGAAAACTGACATTAGGCACCTCACTGCAGTTTCGTCGCAATTCCTTACACAACTGGCGCGAGCCTACAGCGCTATCTATAAGGGCCTCTAATAGATGTTTAGCACAATCACGGAGTTGTGGAAACGGATATATACCCCAGGGCCGTAGCGAACTCATTTGCCTGGGGGCGCAGGCATGGTTTGTGTTCCTGACGAGTGGAAGTTAGCCATTAGCCACATGTAAGAGTAAATTCACAATGTTCTGCAAGGGCAAGCGAGTCTCTTGCCTCGGCCGCAGCTGCGGGCTTACTCATACCGCCGTCTGTTTCCCGGCGTTCATCTATATTTGTACTTCTGATTTGTTAGGGTTTTCAGTGCGTCGCGTTGCGCCGTCCTAACTCACTATCTGAGATTGCCGGAGCCCCACTTACCAGTACACTAATGCTGCCCATCCCCGACACCCAGCTGACGTTTGACGACGAATATAACTAATTCAGGAACAGCCAGGCAGCTCTCATAGCCGCCCTGCAAGCAGAGAAGGCAGCAATCGAGATGCTGTTGGCCAGGCAATCCCATCGCAGGTAAAGCTGCCCAGAATAGAATAGAAAGAGAGAGTGCGCGTGCGAGAGACGATGGCGGAGAATGAGAGAGAGCGGCGCGTAGGAGAACGAGAGACAGAGAGAGGTGGTTTAGAGTGGGCGAGAGTGATAGAGAATGAGAAGAGAAAGAGAGAGGATATATATATCAATAATATATATATAATAATATATAATATATATATATATAATCCCTATTATCTACTCCTGTATGTATATATATATATATATATATATATATATATATATATATAGAGAGAGAGAGACGAGAGAGAGAGAGAGAGAGAATATAATCCCTATTATCTACTCCCTGATATGTATATATATATATATATAAGAGAGAGAGAGAGAGAGAGAGAGAGAGAGAATATAATCCCTATTATCTATTATCTACTTCTGATAATAAGTAGAGAGAGAGAGAGAGAGAGTAAAATATACTACTATTATATTATACTCTCTATATATATATATATATATATATATATATATATATATATATATATATCAGGAGTAAATAATCCCAAAGAGGGGAGTAAGAGAACGATGCTTTAAAGGCCTTTTAGTCAATTTCCATTATAATCGAACACTATAATGATGACATCGTACGCATGTATAATCATGCATCGTGCACTGCAATCAGACTATATACCGCGCCTTATACGCTCCAGATGGAATCACTCCGATCCCAACAATGACCTGCGAGGACGATGCGCCGATCACCATCACGTGTGGTATGACGCAGATATCTACGATCATGGTGACGTACGGTTACGACCCTGCAACCGACGGCACCACGTGCACTAATGACCCCATGACTACTGACCTCACCGGCTGTATGGTTAATGACGTTACGTCTACCTTTAGTGCTGGTTGTGTAGGGTCGACTAGCTGCGTTTTAGACATTTCCGACATGACCATTGGGACTGATCCATGTCCAATTGGTAACTCAATCGGGCGTGTAACCTATACGTGTTCTATACTAACAGACAGCCAGATAGTATTCTTTGAGGCCCAGTACGCGCTCATCTGCTCGCAACTGGACGCGATCGAGACAACATCGGCGAACGTAGCCACCGTTTTCGATGCTATATTCAGTGACTTGACATCATGGAGCAAGTATTTAGTATTCAAACCCAAATACAGCCGTTACAACGGATATGGGAAACGTTAGTTAAAGTAAATTGCATTGTGTATATCGATTGCGCGGCATGGGCATCAATACAGCGAGTCTACCGAAATTGTGTGTCATTTACACGAAATGTAACGCATTTTATCGCTAAATTTTTAGCGAAAATTGATTCAATTTGAATTTGAGCGAAAATTCAAACGTGTTGATATTATGTATGTTGACGATTATCTCAATGTTACGACTGGCGATGCTGTCCTATATAAACGATGAAATCAAATTGGCTTCATTTTCGCTGTAATGTATGTTACTGACATGTAAAATTTTGTCAAAATATATTGCCTTTAATAAATAAATTATTGCTTTTATCTGTGTTTTCCCGTTAATTTCTGCCTCTAGTCACACATTTCTGTTACCAATGCATGCATAATGCACGTCAACGCCCATGCCACACCTGAGTCTTAGTAGATGAATGACCAACAGGCTGGATGTAGCTGTTACTAGATCCATGTGATCAGATAGCATAACAGACATTGAATTCCTGGAAAGCTGAACATGGTGGGGGAGCAGGGGCGGATCTTGGAGGGGCCCGGGGGGTCCGGACCCCCTTTCATTTCAAAGCGCCCTAAAAAATTAAAAGATAATTTTCTGCTAAAAATTTGGAATTCCATCTTGCATTCTAGATATCAAAATTACTGCTCAGATACTCTCAGAATGCACCAATTAAAAAAAAATTTCTTGGGGGAAGTCCCCCAAGCCCTACTAAAACACCAGAAAAATTAAAAAGGAAAAATTGCCCTTTATTTCTTCCTGGACATCCCTTTTCAAAAATCCTGGATCTGCCCCTGGGGGGGGGGGTTATAGGATGACATTCACCGCCCCACTTTACGTCGCGCATTGGCAAGATACTAATTTATACACTTGCATTTATACACTTAATTTTTGCAATTTGCAATTTGCAAATTGGTGCAAATTGGTGTTTCACCCCCCCACCTCCTCGTAATCCTGGATTCGCCACATATCTAGGGAGCAGAGAACAACGAACAAAAATGTCGCTACATGGCGCCCAAAACAAAGATTGCAGAGCTGAGAGGCGGGGGAGCACAGGGTGTGGCGAGCGAAGCGGAGGAACCATTAAAATATTAAGTCATTCACTATTTTGCGCAGTTCGCTGTTTTTGGCCCCCCTGTTAAAAAATCCTGGCTACGCCACTGTTCAGCTTCACAAGAGGAAATATCGCAGGATTTGCGCACGCGAATTGCAGAGCGCCATCTTTTTCGTACGGCCGACGGCGGCTATATATCCTATGATCAGCACTGGACATAGTCTCCGGTCGACGATTTTACCGCCCGCACTTCTTTCCGACGTCGCCTCTGCGACGGGCTGAGACGCTAGCGAATATTTTTTTTTATCGTATGCACCTAGTGTTGGCGACGTGCTCTCTAGGAAAATTGCAGAAATTCAGCGAAATACTGTTTCCGTTGGCAACTCTAAGACATCCAGTGAACTCCGTTTGTGCGCTTTGGCTATGCATATACACATTTCGAATAATTTCTCAGCTTTCCAAGGAGATATATCGGAGGATTTGCGCATGCTCGTTCGCGCCGAAAATATAGAGCATAAGACGAAATTATGCATTCTCGAAATTTCGAAAACCATTCTCGGGCTATCAAAACATGGAAATATTCGGAATTTCGAGCTATGGAGCTATAGGAAAACATGGTAAAATTCGGCGACCGCCCGCGTATTTGAGCGTTATTTGCTACGTAGAGCGCCATCTTTTTCGTATGCAGACGTCCCAAGTGTCCCGCCGGTCTCATCGGAATCCTCCCGGTACGACATGCTGGTCCCGCTGACCGCTGCTCCGGTATATGAGTCAAGAAAGTCCCGGTCGTAACATTTTTCAGCCATGTTTTCAAATTTACATCAGTAAATTACTATATTTGCCGTGGTTGTTGATGTACTTTGATTCCAGCGAACAATAAAAGGCCACAAATGTCAAACACTTGTTTTTT